CACCACTGCCATTATCACCAGCCTGGCTGTGATTTATTGATAATTCATTAGCTTAACGACAGGGGCCGCCCAGCACTGTCCTACACCCACTGCCCGCAGGCTGGGCTGGCACAGAAACACCCGACCTCCCACCTGGGCCAGACACGGGCGCTGCCGTGCGTCGGCACGGGCACGCCGGCAGCGACCGCCCCGAGACCTCGTTGTGCAACGCCGGGACGGCGAGCCCGGCGTCGACGCTGCTCTGCCCCGCGCACCCGGCATCCCGCCGTGTTCTGGGACACGGGCGGGCACCGCGGGATGCCCGAGCTCGGTGCCCGCTCTCCGGTGACTCACCCAGCAGCATGAGCGGGCGTCCCGAGAGGCTGGCGTTCTCCAGGTGCAGGACGACCAGGCTGCTGCTGATGCGCAGGGCGCGTGCCACGAAGGGCGCGGAGTGGTCCAGCAAGGGCGTGTTTCGGGCATCCAGGTACTGCAGGCAATTCGTCTGGGGGCGAAGACACGAGAGGGATCAGCATTCAGCCCCGCGCAGCCTCGGCCGCTGGTTTTTTGGCTGGTTTTTTAAGTTGGGTTTAAGGCCAAGCTATTTTACAGGCCAAGTCCCATCCCGGCCACCAATGCTGCCTCCGGGCTGCTCAGATAAGAGCTCCTGGGAAGACTTACGCCCATCCGAAACATCATTTTGGTCACCCCACGGGCTTCAGATAAGAGGCAAAGAGCCAGAAGGAACTGCTCAGATAACCCCGTGGGCCGGGACGGCCCGCACCAAGCTCCACGCTCGAACCACGCAATTCCAGATAAACACCTTATCTCCCGGAGAATCGCCTCCACACCGAGTCTGCCGTCACCCTCAAGCCACGGCACCGGGGAGGACGCGCTTCAGGTGACCGTAGCGGCATCACGTTCTCCAAAGAAAAGCTTCCCTCGTCCTTACACATCCGAGGACGTGCCGCCCTGAGCTCTCCGGATCCGGGGTCTGGGAAGGCGTCAAGCCATGCGTCCCTCGTCTGGGGTTTGCCTCCCAGACCCTGCCCCGCCTTCGCACACGCCGTCTATTCCTGCTCGAGATCCGCAGCACGCCAACGGCCTCTGTTTGGCTGATTTACCATTTTCCGTGCTAACATAAGCCCTTTCACACCTCCAGATTCTCCCTCGCCTACCCAGAAATTAAGAGCCCCAAGCTGCAGCCGTCCCAGGGGCGTCTCGAGCCCCTTCACCGCACCCGCGTACACGCAGCCGGTTTCAAAGCATCACTACGGGGTCGGCCCGCACCGCGTGGTTGGCTTCTCCAAAACACAGGGTGGGGCATTGCCTGCACCGCGCGAGCTCCCGTTTCCGATATCAACCCCACCGCGAAGACGCCTGCGTGGCAGGGAACGCTACCGGGACGCAGGCTTTCCAACCGGAGTTGTGCAACGCACCTGCGGCGCTGGGTGAAACATCGGCAGCGCCGAAATTAAAATTAGGAGGTCGATAGGTAATTGCGGATAGAGGGTGGTTTTGCGCCGCGCCCCGAGCGGGAAGGATGAGGCACTGCCTCCTCTGCGCTCGGCTTTCAGAGCGAACTCAAGCGCTGAACAATGAGGTTAATTAGCCCCGCAAAGCCAAACACCGGCGCTAGTCATCCTGCCGTGAAGATAATGAATACCCAGCTTGAGAAGCTGACCCTGCAAGCACGCCGCTAATAAAAGTCTGCTCTTTTTTTTTTTGCTGGGATCTGCATTTCCATTTTCTCTGCTCCGGGTGCTCGCTGAGGCATTAAGGGACCTCGTGGCAGGGGGGAACGGTGATTTTTTTTTTTCCCCTGCCTCCGAGCCTGGGCTAACCAGGTCTTTCTGAACCTCCGAGCACAAAACCACCCCTACGGTCTCGGGAAGCACCCAGGAGTCTTTCGAGAGACTCACCCGAGACCACCCGTGTCGCCACAGGGAGGCGGGTGCCGAAAATATTCACGAGCGAGCACAAACCTTCCTCATCATGTGGGCAGCGGCCTGCCAGCCTCGGGTGCCGATGTGTTTGTTAAAGGAGATGTTGAGGTGCGTCGCCGACTCGTAATACTCGATCATGTCAAATAACGCCGAGGCGCCCTGCGAATCAAAGGCAGACGGAAAAGCTGCGTTAAGCGGGCGGGCAGAGGCTGTGCAGCCTTTGAGAGGGGAAAGAAAAAAAAAAAAAGAGGTTTTGGCGTGCTAGGACACAAGCGGCTTGGGCACCAGCCGACTCCTCCAGACGCCTCTCGCACGACCTCGCATCACCGCTCCGGTATTTAGTCATTAGGCTCTTGCAGACAAGGTCCGCAATTCCCCCCCAGCCCCAAGGCAGTCCATGCAACAAAACCCCTTCCTTCAACCTCAAGTGCAAACAAATCGGCACCTCAGGTGACGAGTCCGCCCGTCCCTGTGCCCGCTGACACCGTGGCGCTTTCCATCCCGCCCCCATTCCGTGCCGGCCCCGGCCGTGGCATAGCCGCGTGCCCCCGGCCTCTTCGAGGGACTCTCTGCAGATTTGCTGCCCGTGGATACTCCAGGAGAACGAAAGAAAAAAAGGCATCTCGCCATATTCCCGGTGTCCCCGCCATCGGGCACGTGCTCGGGGACCGTCACCGGGGCAGACGGGGAGCCGGCAAGGCCTGGGATGGGACGACAGCTCCAGCACAGCCGTTCCTGCTCCCGGGGGGGGTGGCGGCAAAGCCGCCTGCGGGTGAAGATTTCCACGAGCGAGTCCGAGACGGCACCTTGCGGAGGGATTCAACCCCAACCCTGCCCCTCTTGGCACCGGGAGAGAAAGCACCAGGGACACGCAGGAGCTTGAACGAGACTTCCGAGGACAGGGGAACATGGGTTTTTTTTTTTCCCCCCCCTGGATATTCAACCTGAGCCGAGGCCGGGCTATCAGCTCGGCGCCCGTCCGCTGCCTTGCACGGTTATCCAGCTCCGCAGGCAGCAGCGACACTTCCCCAGCCGAAAACCCACCCGATAATCCAATCGGGCTACAAAAACCAAACCAAACCAAACAAAAAAAAGGTCTAAAACCCAAGACTTACAGCAGGGTTAGGAGTGAAAGGGATTAGCAGAGGAGGACTCATGCCTGTGAAACGTCTAAAGCTCCTACGGCAGAAGTGGAACAATTTGCTTAATTACATAATGAGCCTCTTTGGAGAAAATTAGCTGAAACGTACGCTGGAGCGGGCAGAGAAGAGCCACAAAAGCGCTGCGAGGCTTCCAGAAAAAAAAAAAAAATATGCGGAGCAACCTGGAGGACTGGAAAACACCAGCACGAAGGCAAACGAGAAAGAACAGGTCTTCGGGGAAGAACAGGACTTTCTGCTGGAAACGGGGTGCTCATCGGCAGGAAACGAGGAGGAGAAGAATCTGGGTACCAGGTGACCAAGTCCCCGGCGTGATGCACCCGGGGAGAAAAAAAGGTTGCTGATGCCGAATGAATCGGAGGGACGGGGACAGGAGCGGGAGGTCTCAGGGCTGCGGGGGGCTGGCGTTAACCCTCCACGGCTGTTTTCCCCCCCGGCAGCAGACACGGAGACACGTCGGACCCCTCGTGCCCCGCAGACGGCCTCGCTTTAAAGCGACTGGAAGAGAAAACCATAAAGCGCCGAGGTCTGCAATCTCTCTGCCCGCACCGTCCAGCTCTGAAGCCACGGGATAGGGTTGAATTATTAACGTGTAATTGTTCCTCCCGCAAGATAACGAGTCGAACGAAGCACAGGATCCTTTTACAGCCAAAGACGTCACGAGCTCAGCCAGCCCGTCCCTGCTCTGCGGCTGCACGTCCCTCGCCGGCCTGCGGCGCCGTCGG